TGTGTATATATATATATATATATATATATATACAAACATATCGTTATGACTATGTAATTATAATGTTATATAATTGTCAAATTGTATAATAATTATATATAGTTAATTAAAGTAGCATTATATTGTCATATATTAACGTATTGGCCACACCCACCCCTGGTAGAGGAGAAAAGGTCGGGATATCCCCTGTAAAACAGTTATATATGTGACACTGTGGAGTATGTGGATTTCAGAAATATTAAGAAGACATCTGGACAAAAAATGCTTAGCTGGGTCTCATGAGGATAAATAAGGGAAAGGCAGCAGTGCGACCGCGCGCGGTACAGATTAAATGAACTTCACCGCGCGACTGCTGGGAATTAAACTGGAAACTGTGGTAAGTGGCCGATATAAACAGTTTAATGTAAATCAAAGACAAGCGTGTTTTCCTCTTATTTTACCCCTTGCGCACCGCTAACCTTTACATACAGACTCACCTCTTTTTATGATAACTATCAGTGATATTTGGTTATCTTTGTTGTGTCAGTTTTTGTTAAGACTTGAAAACCTTTTGCGACATTGTTTGGTTTATCTTACGGTGCTCAAGAAATGAAGAAACTCAATCATCTCTTGTTTCTACAAGGTTAGTGTTATTTTGGATAATGTTAACAAAAGAAAGGAAGACATTTATTAAATTAAGGTTAAATGTAACAAATGACATACAGTTAGGCTATTATGTAATAGTGCATGAATGTGGACGAACGTATAGCTATAAATCAAAATATTGGATATATCAGTACACCATACATTAAATAAAAATATGTGATTAGTGAAAATATAAAGTGTTGCCTTTAGCAATAAGTTAACATTATCTGTCTGAAGGATAGTCACATCTTAAATTTAGTTTTTTTTTCATTTATCATTTTTAATTATGTATTTTACTTTTAAAACCCCAGTCACACAAATTGTCCACAGTAATTAGAATAAATGGTATTTCAGCCTTTTGTAAGAAATAGGACAAGAAAATGTTTATATAGCTAAGTGGTGTGTGAGAGCTTTTTAAATATAGTTTATAAGACCCTAAATAAATGAAAAGAATCAGAGCTTAAAGTTTTCAAACCATAAAGCCAGAAATGAGCTTTTTCTGCCTGATTGTTGTCACTGTTTGGTTTTACTTGGTTTCTGGTTCCTGTCAGCAAAGCTAGAGTAAGTTTACTCCATTCTGAGAGGCCAGAGAAGATATGATATGAAGAGAGGACAGAAAAAGAGTTTTGAAATGAAATAAATCTGAGTTTAGAGCTTAGTGAAGAATGCCATCAGGAAGGAAAGGCCAGGAGACTCCCGATAAACAGTCCCACATGTGTGCAAAAGTCTCAAGAGACCAAAAAAAAAAAAGCCTTTAGAAATAAAAAAAATAAAAAAATTAAAAAAAGGACTCCTCTCTTAGGAATACACTTTTAACTCCTTTTAACTGTAAATGTAATATTAATAGTCACTTTTTAATAATTAAAATTTTAATATTTCAATCATTGTAAATACTATACTGAAGTCGGTTTTAATAATAATTTAAAAAATGTAAGTAAAGTTCAGTTTTTAAAGCTTGCTGACATTACACACATTGATTTCTTTCGTTCTTTAAATGAGTTATTTTAATCTATTAAATGTTTTACAGGAAAGTGCTACTATTTAAAAATAATTCTTTTAGTTTTCTAGATTTAACAAAGCAAAATCTAGCTAATTGTTGCTAAGGATCCTCTGGAACAGGCTTAATACCCCTGAAATATCTGAGCCATTTTTAATTTTTGCTCTCTCTTTACAGATGATGAGTAAAAATGGCTTTGTGTAGGAAAAGTAAGTAACAAATGCAAGTCTTGCAGGTTGCGTCCCTGTGAATCCCCTTATACAGTTGTTTATTGCATCACTGTTTCATAATACATGGAAAAACATCCAAGGCATCCACCAAGAAAAACATCATGTCCAGTGTATGAGTCACACTCTGAATCAGACTCCTCATACAAAACCACAAGTCTTACGTACATGATGTTAGATCATTCTCATTGTGAAATCTAACTGATAACTGATGTCAATGAGCAAACAGTGATGTTTTAGTGCCTCGTTTTGCACTACTGTCCTGCAAAACAGGAATGTGTCCGATCTGTGTTTATGTGCTATATACTGTGTTTATGTATTATATATAAATGTAACTTATATTTTTGTAAGTTAAAGGGATAGTTCACCCAAAAATGAAAATTCTGTAATTAATTACTCACCCTCATGTCGTTTCAAATCCGTAAGACCTTTGTTCATCTTCGGAACACATTGACAGCTGCGTCACGCCGGATATGTTTCCTATGTTGTTGTGATTTGATCTGAACGAAAACAGCGTATCCATGTGACGCAGCTGACACAGAACAGCATACGCTGTTTACGTCCAGCTGATACTCTCCAAAATGGCGCTACAGGGTGACGCGGAGGAGACGAATTGTTGAATAAAGTCGTTTTTTTTTTCTTTTGCGCACAAAAAGTATTTTTGTAGATTCGTACAATTGCAGTTGAACCACTGATGTCACATGGATTATTTTACAGATCTCCTTGCTACGTTTCTGGACTTGGGAACATTTCAGTTGTATTGCTGTCTATGCAGGGTCAGACAGCTCTCAGATTCCATCAAGATGAACGAAGGTCTTACGGGTTTGAAACGACATGAGGGTGAGTAATTAATAACAGAATTTAAATTTTTAGGTGAACTAACCTTTTAATATTAACAATTAGAACAGTCCCTGCAAACAAGCCTGCACCGGCCCTTTACGGGCCCACTTAGGGCTAGCCTAAGGGCCCCCAGCGGGCTGCCAGCGCAGGGCCTCTGAGATTTGGCTCATTGGCAAAACGTTGGCCCCTTAGTGCTGGCCCTGCACGGGCAGCCATCACTTAGCCCACACTATAAATCTCGCCCAACCTGGTCCTAATCAAACACAACTGAACCAACTAATAACACAGCACAATGTGTTCAGCAGGTGAGCCATGCTGGCTACTACTGCTTGCTATTGCTAACTCTCTCTACCACATGGCTTTACTTAAGGAAACCTAAAACACCCTAGCACCTGTAAGGTGGTAAGGAAGAAAACTGCCCACAAAATTCTTATTAACAGGCTCATGTCTGGCCCACGTGAACTAACCTTTTAATATTAACAATTAGAACAGTCCCTGCAAACAAGCCTGCACCGGCCCTTTACGGGCCCACTTAGGGCTAGCCTAAGGGCCCCCAGCGGGCTGCCAGCGCAGGGCCTCTGAGATTTGGCTCATTGGCAAAACGTTGGCCCCTTAGTGCTGGCCCTGCACGGGCAGCCATCACTTAGCCCACACTATAAATCTCGCCCAACCTGGTCCTAATCAAACACAACTGAACCAACTAATTAGGATCTGAAGGAGCACTTGATAATTACAGACAGGATTGTTTAATCAGGGTTGGAACTTAACTCTGCAGGACACCGGCCCTCCACGACCGAGTTTGGGCACCCCTGCTTTAAATACTTTTCAGCTACTATAACTTAAGTCTTTGAGAAAAAAAGTTATTATACATCTGAAATGGATGCAGTCACCACATAACTAATGTCTATATTGTCAAAAATGTACAGTAGTCAAAGGGATTTCAAATCAATGGATTTATTAAATACTGGTGAGCCCAAAGCTGTGGGCCTCCCCTGGGCAAGCCCGCACAGAGCCTGTTTAGGTTTGGTGTGGGCTGGCCCTAGCCCACTGTGCCAGCAAAAAGCCAGCATGGGCCCCGCAAGGACATGTTTGCAGGGGTTCCTCATCCCTCACACATCATCTTACAGTGACCTCTAGTGGTCACTTTTTTCATATATGCAACACAGTGCAGGATTTTCTATAGTCTCTCTCTCTATCTCTCTCTCTCTCTCTCTCTGCCAGTCAACCGTGAGCTCCTCATTCTGCTAATCATGGTGGCTTTTGCTCACCTGTACAAAAAGACCAGACTACAGACACTGGCCAAGTATTCAGGTACACATGCAGGGTACTGATACCCAAGTATGTACTCAGTTTGTTATGTTAGTGATTTTAGTGATGATCCAACATATTCAGTAGTTTATTGTACAACATGTCAATACAGACATTTTTAATATCGAACTTTATTAATGCTATAAATGCTATAATGAGTGTTAAATGAACCCTTAAACGTTGACATCTACAACAAAAGCTATGGGAAGCATTTTCTGCTTCCTTTTAAAAGTCGATAAGCCTATTTATTTGCATTTATTATGGTTAGTTGACGTTTATTTGCATTTATTTGCATTTTTTCTGCTTCCTGCAATCTTTTGCACCCGAGAACCACTGCAATTACATATACAGATGCTCATTACATTCTTACATTTTTATTCTAGAGTAGAAATTATATATATATATATATATATATATATATATAC